CTTTCATCATCTCCTCATCCATCCAGCCCTTTCCATTTGCCTTAATAACGACTCCAGCTGGAAAATTCTCTTTAGGCAAAGTCTTTCTCTTAAAAATCACCATAGGCGGCAGTTTCTGTCCATCCACGCCCACACTTCCCCCTTTAACGTTCTCATGGCGGTCTCAACAACGTCGCAGTAACAACACAAATAGGACGCTCCGCTCTATAGGGCGCGCCGCACATTTTGAGGGGGAAAAAAATACGTTTATATGCGCCTTATAGTCGCAAAAATACGGTATTTGATTTAACAGTGCTTTATTAATCCAAAAGAGAAATTAAATGTTGCAATAGCTCTTTTTTTTCTTTTTTTTTTACCAGTTACTGTATATGATAATAGCTGTAGGCTAGAAGTATCTACTGCATCAATCGGTCTGGAGAAGCCTCTGACTGAAGACACTGAAGATGATGCTCTCTGTTGTCCATAATGTCTCTATTTATGAAGAAGTCTTCTTTATAAATCTACTTCAGATGCTCTAGAGGAGTTCTGAGAACAGAGAGAGCCTTCTCTATTGACTTGTTGAGCTTTTTTAAGTCTAAAGTGTTTGTCCTGTTGGTCTGCTGTGTTAGCTTTGTATGCAACCGAACATAGAGATGCACCTTTCCACTTTTCCCCATACGATACTTGGGCTGTATCGTCCGATATCAGACCAAGACTGTTGCACAGATCTCTAGATCAATGAACCTGTATTACAGTTTATTTTATCAATAAAAATGACTTGACCTGATCCAATTATTTAATATCGTAGCAGAGCATTGGAACGTACATCTCCCCGACCTGAGTGGTTTTCTTGTGTATGATCCATAAGGTAAATTCTGGATTGAAATCTGTTTTATATTTACTGAGCTTATTGATCACCTTTTTAGGCTTTGTTTAATATTTTTTCATGAGAAGGTACCATAGAATATTCTAATAAATGGCCGATTACAAGCTGTGAATTACTGCCACTTGATTACCTGCATAAAAGCTTCTCACTTTGCTCAGAAGAGCATTGTCATTGTTTAATAAGTGCAGCCTGCATGGAACTGGAGAGAAAGTCATTTATTTAACATTTTACTAACCTATTTTGAATAAGTAATCTAAACTGATCCTGTTGAATAATCGTCCTCTCCTGAAAAGTCTCGAAAGTTGCTGTGATATAAACGCCAAGTAATGAAATCATCAATGCGCTTTGAGCTAGTAGGGCGTTCAGCATCCGCCAGAGAAGTAACCATTATCGTATTATCTGTGTACTTTTAGTAAAACTTTATTCAGGGTTTCAGAGGTTGATTAAAAATCATTAAGTCATTAAATGATTATTTTTCAAATTAAGGTCTGAATTGGCATTAAAATTCATTCAATGTGATTATTGTGGCATTTAAAATGCTTTATTTAAAAAGCCGTATTTTCAGAAAAGTAGCTTGAGGTGGAGAAAAAGCTGGAGAATTGGAAAATGCAAATTTCAACAAAAGTGGCTGGAAATTGAAGAATTTGGGACATGGCTGCAGCTTGTCGACTGTAAATATGATGCAGGATTTTGTCGTGTACATATGAGAGTCATGGGTACTTCTTGGTGGCATTAAAATTATTTCAAAGAGTATTAAAAAGCATAAAAATTCAAAGCAGCAACTAGAGTTACTCATTCCTGTATAACCCCTGTTATTGTTTCATACTTTACCTTTATTTAAATTAACTCTTACACAGTAGATGACTCATATCCCTGTGGGATAAAAACTATTATTCAAATAATTAAATCTGCCACTTAGTTTCAGATTACGCACAAATTAAAAGAACATTGAAAGGAGAAAATGGGATAATGGAAAATCTGTGAAAATCTTCCTGAGCCTCATCTAAAGGATCACAGATCTAATGAGCAAACAGCCTGACGGTGATCACTGGAGATGGATCGATACGGTGGCCCTAAGTTATCTGCGGCCATTATTGGCAGTTTTCTTTGTTTCGTCTTGTATTGGTGCCAGCCCATATGTGCAGAGGAGAGAATGCTAGAAATGAATTGGTTAAATGACCCGCTGTGAGTTAAATAAAAGATATCCTGCAGTACAAGGCTTCAAATGTTCAGTTGTGTGAAAACTTTATGCAGGTTTGTCCTATTTATGGGTTAATTGTTGGTTAGTATCAATTTTAAACCGATTTTCATGACTAAATTAATCTGATAATAACTATGCTGTGCATAGTTATTGTTGTTAACATCCTCCAAACATCTCTGGAACATTTAAGATGCATCTGATATACAAACATTACATTACTCAATCAGATTATTATTTATGAGCTTTTTCCCTTTTTCATTTACAGTCAAGAAAAATAAACATTGTGGGAAGAAATATATTAGAGCTGGGTTAAAAGAAAATAGATTCTAATATTGATTCCTAGAGATTGGTTCATATAACCTAAAATCAGTGAAATCGGTGTTTTTTTTTTTTTTTTATTTCCTGTTGAATGTTGATTTAATACTAGAATAAACATATTGCATAGCTGCAGTCATTTAACTCAGTGTAATTTATTTCATCTAAAGATTGTTTTAAATATCAGAAAACCAATTTAATATCCTAAATTTTGAGAATCAATCTTGAGCTTTACCAGTTTATTAGGGTTCCTATAAATTAAAACACAAACTGCGCCTCCTTGTGGTTTAATTTCTCAACTGCACTCATTAAGATTCTTTGATACTGATCAATAAACCAAGAGAGATTAAATGAAATTAAACTGCATAAATATCGTACTACAATCAGGATACTACAAACCTGTGATATAAATGTTTTCTGTCTTGTAAAAGCATCTGGATATAATTATTTATTTCAATTTTAACAAGCTTTCTGTGCAGGGATCTGATTTAACTTAAGAAAAACCACCTAACCTTAGCTGCTTTGTCAGACCGCATAGGGAGAATTTATCTGCCTTTGGAGAACTCTCTGACATACAGAAAAAAAAAACACTTTTCATTTTAATTTAAATTTAATATAAAAAAAAAAGACCTCCAAAATGTCTTTGAACAATAAAAAACAGCAAATTTTCCTGAGTAAAATCAACAGACAGTGAATAACTTTATTGAATCTCATTGGAGAGGATTTGCATTTAGTTCCTGTCTTAACCGACTTCTCTCCCGTTTTTGTTTTTCTGTAGTTCTCACAGCTGCCGTCACACAAGCTTCATTACAGTCGATGCTCCACAAGATCCTCACAGCCGGACCGTCGGCTTTCAACATCACTACTATCCTCTCTCAAGCTGCCCAGCTCTCCAACCAAGGTAAAGGACGCTTCTGTTTTAATGCTGCTTGATGCGCACTGGTTGGTCCTAAAGGAGCCTCATCGTTTCGTTTTTTTTTCTCCAACAGCTCAACAATCAAATCAGTCACCAATGTCTTTAACGTCAGACGCGTCGTCGCCGAGGTCCTACGTCTCGCCGAGGATCAGCACGCCGCAGACGAACGTTGGTCCTTTAAAGCCCCACCTTAGCGCACAGCCCGTCATCTCACAGCCAAAAGTGAGTCACCAGAAAAAAACAAAACAAAAAGAAGTGCTTCATGTGGGGAATAAAAAAAAAGAAAATAAAAAAAAAATCCACTGGACTTTGTTTTCTAAGTTTGAATCAAATCAAATCAAATTTATCTGTATAGCCCTTTACAATAGCCAAATGGTACCCAAAATGCTTTACAGCAAAGCCATAAAACAATACATAACACATGTAAAACGGATACAATTAAAAGTGCTGTAGTGGTGCAGCGCTGCAGGACATTAAAAGCCTTCCAGAGGTGCATAGAAAGGAGCAACACAGAAGGAGGACATCTAGGAGACTGTATTATCCTAGTAAGAATTAAATGCTAATTTATAAAAGTGGGTTTTAAGCTTTTTTTTTTTTTTTTAAAAGGCTGAGGTCAGTAGTGGTGCGGATGTCGGGGTAGTTTGTTCCACAGTCTGGGAGCAGCGACGGCAAAAGAACGATCGCCCCACTGCTTGAGTCTTGACCTAGGGACCTCTAACAGAAGCTGACCAGAGGAGCGTAAAGCTCTGCCACAATTGCGAAAAGTTAAAATCAAAGAAAAGTAAGAGGGGGCCAAGCCATGAATAGCGTTAAAAACAAACAGCAGAAGTTTAAAATCAATTCTAAAACGGACTGGAAGCCAGTGGAGTGCCGACAGCACAGGAGTAATGCGTTCACGTCTGGATGTGTTTGTTAAAAATCAGGTGGCAGCGTTCTGCACAAGTTAGAGACGAGAAATTGATAAGTGACTGAGGCCAACGTAAAGGGCGTTGAAGTAGTCCAGCCTTCTCAAGATCCTGCCGACTGAGAAAGGACTTGACTTTGGCCAAAAGACGGAGCTGAAAACGGAGCTAATCGTAGTTTGAAGACATTTTTATTTCCATCCAGGAAGCTTTTTCGATTCAAAATGTCAGGAATAGATTTGAGTTTGAGGTTTTATACAGTAGCCCAACAAAGCCTTGTTTTTGTTTTGGAAAAAAAAGCTAATTGAAACAGACGAAGGGGAATGAGGGCTGTTTGGTTTCTTTTATTAACTAACCCTAACCCTGCAATACCTCATATCTGTCTAAGGTTACGTTAACACTGCAGGCCATGATGCTCAATTCTGTTTTTTGTGTGTTTTTTGCGTTGGCGTTCACATTTCCAAATATATGCGTCTTGTAAGTGATCTCCTGTGTGAACTGCAGAAGTAAACATGGATGTTGGTGCCGGCGCGCATCTAGCGATCTTTCCCAACCTTAAAACACAATCCTTTCAAGATCATAAATCATAAATACTGCTCTCCGCATCATCATCTTCCACCATGGTTGTTGTTTTTTTGCCGCTTTTTCAAAGCAAGACTCAGAATGGCGACCTTTGTGGGGTATTGATTGCGTTCAGGTCGGATGAATGCGACCTGGCTTTTAAGACACGGGTCGCATTTGAAAAGATCAGATTCGTATCGGATTCAGGACCACATAGCCAAGTGGCCTGGGTCGCATTGGAAAAGATGAGATCTGCGTTGTTTAGAACGCCATGAAAAGATCAGATCCATGTCGCATATGGGCCAAAAAATCAGATTTAGGTCACTTCAGGCTGCTGTGTGAATGTAGCCTAAGTTTCTGAAAGGGGGGGGTTGTTAAAGAGAATCATTGGCCTGGTTGAATAGGTGAGGTTCTCCGCTCTCCTGTACAGGGGCTGCGATGATAGCAGGAGAAACCTGAGTCCACCCCCTCTGTTTAAGGTTGTTTATTCTTAACATAGATGGCTTCCTTCTCTCCCCATCCAAACAACCTATCTTCTTTGTCCAAAATGTCGTCCTCAAAAGAATGTCCTTTGTCCATAAGGTGTAGATGTACCACAGTTTTGTCCGAAGAAATTCCTTTCGTAGACGTTTCGTTTCCCATCCAGGAAGCTTTTTCATAAAAAATGAAAATTTCAATTGAAAAAGTTTTCTGGATAAAAAGCAAAACGTCTTCAAACTTGTAAACAAAACCCAGTGGATTGTTTTTAATTTTCTTTTATGGAATGACTGCCCCGGATAAATGAGAATCTTTAGTAGCATTTTACAACAGGTACAAGTAATTTCCCTCTGGGATTATTAAAGTATTTCTGATTCTGATTCTGATGTAATCTGAGATATTTAGAGACCCAAAACTATGTCCTAAAATACATAAATGTTCCAATAAGTATATGTAACTTTTAATACATGATTTTCTTTCATATTATTTTCTTATAAAAATGACAAGATTGTATAAACTTCACTTTTTATGCAAAGATAGAGTGAAGTAATGAGATGTATTTTTCAGGGGTTAAAAGTTTGCATTACGGTGATTTTTTTGGGGTCACAGTTTAAAATGTTCTAGAATATTATCTGACTTTCAGGCCCTGCTGCTCTTTGACCTGTTAAACGGTTGATTAGGGGAAGCCTTAGCCTGATGATTGACTTATTCTCTTCAGATAATTCAGTGGGAATAATCTAACAGGTATGAAGGTAACAGGTCACAGTGTGGCATCTCTAACCAAACATCAAAGATGAAACCGTCTGAAACAGATTGAGGTTTCTGGTTCCTGTGATGTTGCTGAATTCTGTCGTCAGAATGAAGTTTGGTGCTGATGTTGCATCGCTGACGTCTGTTTCAGGTGAGCACGCCAGCAGTGAAGCAGCCGCCTCATTCGCAACCCCCGTCTCAGCAGTCCCTATCGAGCGAGAAGCATCACGGTCACGACGCCACCACGGCCTCGCCGCGCGCGCTTCAGCGCCAGAGGTCAGTACGCACACATCGAAGCAGAGCTGACTGAATGGCGTCGCCCCAGAACTGGACTGTTCCGTATTTCCTGTTAAGCTGTGCTGTTTCAGCTTATTTCCATTCAGCTTTTTAAAATGTATCTTTTTGCTCCCCCTGCTGGTCATCTGTGGAACTTTATTTGCTCTGTTGGCCTTCATTCGTTTAAGCCTTTCTGCAGCTCCGTCTGGGTGGATTTTTCAAGGATTAGATCAGAGCTGCTGCAAGTATTTCCTATCAATTTTAATTTATTTTACATAAAATACAGCTTTGATCTTTTTTCTTTGAGAGCCAGATTCCATCAGATGTTTCCACATTTTTTATCTGTGATCTTTCCTCCATCAAATGTTTATGCAGGACGGTTCAACCTTACAGATCAGGGTCTGTTCTTCTCCATCAGACTCAGTTTGGGTCGTTGTTTTTGTTTACTAGCATTTTTGACCTCATTACAGTTAAAGATTAATCCAGGTATCCTTGCTGAGTTGGATTTATTTATATAAAGCCTTATGAAAAAAAAAAACAATCACTGTGCTTTTATTGATAACACTATGAGAGGTTATAGAGGGCTGCTTTATGTCATATTTAAAGGTCTATTTTAGTGAGACTCCTTTAAACATAGATGGTATTAACATACAAAGCTTCTGCAGAACAAGAAGGTTCTACTAACAGGGTTCCCGCGTCCTTCAAAATAAAACTAGGGCCTTAATTGGTATTAATAGTCTTTCGTGGGTCTTATATTTTAAACCATCATAAATAGGATTATTTTTATTACGATTTATTTTTGTAATCTTAATAAAACATTAAAATAGAATTTTTTTTTTATAAAAAAAAAAAAAAAAGCGGCTCTCCATTATTGGTTCCGTCCCGATAGCGGAACCAATAAAAGCATTGTTGCGGCCGGGACATTAAGACTTAGCACTGGTTGTGTTGTGGCTTTAAAACTGATTTGTTTTGTTCCCTGCTAAAACAAAGTTTGTGAATCCAGTTAAATAATTGTTAAAATATATCTTTGATTTGTGTGTTTTTGGCTTTCTTCCTGTTTGGGAAGTTTTTCAAAATTTGAAACATTAGTGCATTGGTTTATGTTAAAATAAACCTTTGGGTTAAGTTGTCGCAAGCAGGTTTTTCTTGTGTTTCTTGTGAATTTGGTCTTAAAGTTTTATTTCAAGTGGCATTAAAAAGTCTTAAAAAGTCTTGAATTTAACTTGCCTTATGCTGTAGGAACCCTGGTTCTAGATTAGATTCATGGGTTCTCCGCTCCCCCCCCCCACACACACACACACACACACACACACACATCATGACTGATGGGTCGATGGATTGCTTTAGTTTGTCTAAAGCGGAGGTCTTCGACAGGGGGTGCATGGGGGTCGCAAAAGTTTTGGTGAATTTGACTTTTTTTTTTTATACCCCCCCTGCAATTTTTTCCACTAATTGAAATGTCTTTAAATCCACATTAACATGAATTCATCACACTGTAGAAAACAGATAAATGGAGGCAGAAGATGTCTTTCAGTCATCAATGCTCACATTCAGCGACACACAGGAGCTCTTTTAAGCTGGACACCGTTTCATTCACAACACCTGTCCCATCAACCAGGACTCAGAATCAGAAATACTTTAATAATCCCAGGGAGGGATTACTTTCGTTACATTACTCCATCTGTAATATAGTGACTATAGGACCGGTTTGATAGAACATAATGATGAGAGGTTATAGAGGGCTGCGTCCTCAGAGTAAAGTTTCCTGTAAGTAAACATTAAATACACTTTACTCTGTTTCTGGCTTGTTTAACCCTCTCATGTTAAGATTAAGTTGTAGTTGCAGGAAAAATCTGATATTTGGAGAAATGATCATATGGGGTAGTAATATACAATTCAGACTTTTTTTTTGAGAGAGAGAGAGACCTTCACATTAGGGATGGAACGGTTTATGAAAACCGTCCAAACCGTTCAGTTCGACTGTCTCGGTTCGCGTGTGTTGCGTTCGGTTCATGAGCTGCTCCTTTTTCTCATAGGCGAAGCGTTTACACTCCAGAGCAGAAGGTGGCGGTAATGAGACCAAAGCCAACCATGACGGCGGAAAGAATGTTGAGGATAAAAGTGCAACAGTGTGCAAGCATTGTGCAACACGTTTTTTTATGCTAACAGCAACACGACCAACATGTCAGGCTAACAATCAACATATACCGAACCGAAAACCGTGACCACGAAACCGTGAACCGAACCGCTGATTTTGTGAACCGTTCCACCCCTACTTCACATGCAATGAATTCTGGGATATTGCAGATTTGCAACAGTGGTTCGGAGTGGTAAATTATCACTGAAGACTGAATCTGATATGAACATTAACTTTATTTGAATGTCACAAACAAAAAATTAACAAAACAAAATTCTAAAAAAATGTCTCACAAAATTAGAGACAACTTTTTCTCCTCCGACATTTGTTAAAACCTCTTGAGAAGGCAGTTTCTGTTAAACTGTTGGCAATATAGGCAAACTAGTAGATAAAGCATGTAGCATCCATTGGTACCTGTCTGGGCACACGTTGCGAATCCACAACATTGAAATCAAGATGCCTCTGGTGAAAAACCCAGAGGCGATAAAATCTACTAACTGGCATGTGTCATATCTATACACATTCGTGATTCATCTTATGTAGTATTGATTTCAAAATAATGCAAATTGGTAGTGATACTTATATGAAATTGGTGCTTAGAAAGGACTCAGCCATGTTGAAAGTGAGTCAGCAGTGCCATCTGGTGAGCTGGAGAGAAACTGTTTGTTGCAAATGCACAACTAAGTCCTTCTGTTGTACTTCTGAGTAACAAAAGCTCTTAAAATATGGATGTGGAGTATTTAGCTAAGTGGCATTTAGCTGTTGCAAATCTGCAACATCTGCCTGGAGAGGGTTAAAACACATGGCTCATGTTAATGATCAAAATATGATGATGGGAGATGAGCTCAAAATGACTTATTTGTTTAGATTTTTAGAAATTGGATAATTGTTTCCCTGGTTTCTGACTGAATAAACACTGACCGGTATTTGAGGTTCCTGTTTTTCTAGTTTTGGGAACGTTCCTAGTTTCCCTGTTAACAGATGAGGACTGTGAGAAACGCTTGTTAAAGTTTGCTGACGTTTTGTCCGCTGCAGCAGTCAGAGGAGTCCGTCTCCAGGACCCAACCACGTCGCCTCAAGCAGCAACACCTCCAACTCTGCCTCGGCACCCCCCAACGCCTCGGCGGCCCGACCTTCCTGCTCCCTCACCCCCACGCTGGCCACCCACTTTAACGAGAACCTTATCAAACACGTGCAGGGATGGCCCGCAGAACACGCAGAGAAACAGGTCAGTTCTTAAAATCAGCTTTTTTTTTTTTATCCTTCCAACCTGTATTTTGGTCATTTTTAAAGGAAAATTCCGGTTTTTAACACTTTAAGCCCATTTTCTGTAGTGTCCCGGAGGAAATCGAATGATCGACA